TGGTGCAGATTTTCATCTTGTAGCCTTTTGTGCTGCTGCCTTTTTTTTGACTGGCATTTTTAAATTTTACACAGGTGACATTCTTGAATTTCATGGTCCAGAGGGAACCGGAAAAACAGAAATGCTTTATCACTTGACAGCGCGGTGTGTGCTTCCAAAATCGGAAGGCGGGCTGGAAGTAGAAGTCTTGTTTATTGATACAGATTATCGCTTTGACATGCTCCGGCTCGTTACGATTCTGGAGCGCAGACTGTCCGGCGGGTCTGAAGACGCGGTGAAGCGGTGCCTCGGAAGGCTCTTTGTGGTCAGCTGTGGCAGCAGCACGCACCTGCTCCTCACCCTGCACTCCCTAGAAAGCACCGTCTGTGGCCACCCTTCCCTCTGCCTTCTGATCTTGGATAGCCTGTCCGCCTTTTACTGGATAGACCGCGCCAACGGAGGGGAGAGCGTTAACTCCCAGGAGTCTGCTCTGAAGAAGTGTTCTCAGTTCTTAGAGAAACTTGCACACGAGTATCGCTTAGTTGTTTTTGCAACCACACAAAGCCTAATGCAGAAAGCCTCCGCCTGGACCGAAGGGCCTTCCTCGGCCGAAGCGGACTACAGGCCCTATCTCTGTAAGGCGTGGCAGCGGGTGGTAAAGCACAGACTGTTTTTCTCCAGACCAGAGGATTTGAAAACCAGCAACCGGTTTTCTTTAGTTTCACATAATTTAAAAAGTAACAGTTTTAAAAAGCATGTTTTTATTATTGGAGAAAGTGGCATTGAGTTTTGTTGATACGTATCACAAAATGGTGTTTTCCGGGATATTATACAAAATTGAAAAAGTCTTAATGGGCTAAAATGATTTGATTATAAGGTATAAAACTCTGGGAGAATTAATATAAATGTTTCTTTTTTTTTTTTTTTTTTAATTTTTTTTTTTTTCAACGTTTATTTATTTTTGGGACTGAGAGAGACAGAGCATGAACGGGGGAGGGGCAGAGAGAGAGGGAGACACAGAATCGGAAACAGGCTCCAGGCTCTGAGCCATCAGCCCAGAGCCTGACGCGGGGCTCGAACTCACGGACCGCGAGATCGTGACCTGGCTGAAGTCGGACGCTCAACCGACTGCGCCACCCAGGCGCCCCAATATAAATGTTTCTATACAGAATGGATTTTTTTGTTCCAGAATAGATTTCTTTCTTTTCTTTTTTTAATGCTTTATTTACTTATTTTGAGAGAGAGAGAGAGAGGAGAGGGAGAATCCCAAGCAGGCTCTGCACCATCAGCATGGAGCCCTACACAGGGCTCGGTCCCACGACCGTGAGATCATGACCTGAGACAAAACCAAAAGTCGGGTGCTCAACCGACTGAGCCACCCAGGTGCCCCCAGAATGGATTTCTTAAACTAGTACGGTAAAACCTTACACTATTCCGTTCTTAGGTTGTTGAAGAAAAATCAAGTGTATATTAAACTTGTTTTAAAACTAAATAAGTAGTCTACGCATTGCAGCCTAAATAAAATGAACTTCCATACCTTTGTGTCAACACTTTCTGGAACTTAGTTAAGTACTTAATTTGTTTAGGAAGGTTTAACTGCATTTCTGATTTCTCCTACGTAACTCCTTTAGGAAGCTGTGACTTTGGAAAATGTTTCTGTAGAGCTGCTATTTCTGCAAAGGGGATGGGGGCAAGGAGCCACAGGAGCCTGCACACCTGCCCGTCACACCAACAACTGGAAAGTCAGAGCGTTTTCATCTGACTTAGACTGAGTCCAAGATGGAGTGGCATTCTGCTTGGGTTTTTATATAATTTTTAAAAATTTTATTCCCTAAGCTTTATTTATTTTGAGAGAGAGCGAGAGTGTGTCCCAAGCAGGCTCCACCCTGTCAGCGCAGAGTCTGATTCGGGGCTCCACCCCAGGAACGGTGAGACCATGACCTGAGCCGAAATCAAGAGTCGGATGCGCAGATGACTGACTGAGCCACGTAGGCGCCCCTGTCTAGTTTTTTAACTACAGGGAAATAATCTACCCATTCAAGGAATTCTGTATAAAGGTGGTTTTGAAATTTTCATCTCCTCCTTGTTAAGAGATTGACAAATGCTAAGATGATTTTAGAGCTGTGTGTTACGAGTATGTTCTTACCCATTTAGGATAGTCTAGCTATTTCCAGCGGAGAGCTGGACAGGGCTGTCTATACTTTGATCAAGGAATGGCCAGAATGGGGCCAGAATGGGGGGGCCTGCGTCTCAGGGGTACACAGTGTATTGTGGAGAGGAAGACAATCTTAGAACCTCTACTTCTGCAGTTTAAGCTAAGAAACGATTAAATTATATCAATAGTTGATACTCAGACTCATCGGTCTGTATGTCAGGTTGTCTGTCGTATACGTCTCTGAGGAATCCTGTGGGAAGAGTGGGAAGAATTGACGGTGGTGTTTTTGTGTGTGTATTCATTTAGGTGTTACCTCCTTAGTTAGAAACTAAGTGTG